GGGCATCCACGCCCCCCCCCCGGCTGTGCTCGTTGTCGCTGTTGTTGTTTCCATCATGCTTTTTTTTCCCCCCCTCCCCCCCCCCCCCCCCCCCCGGACATTCCTGCAGTCCATAGGCCTCATCCCAACCGACGGCAGAAGGCGGACCCCCGGCGTTGTTGCGGACCGTGCGGCTGCCTCCAAGAACGCCGCTAAGAACGACGCCGGCCGCACGAGGCGTCGAGGGGGGGGAGGGGCCCCTACTCTGGCTGCACTAATGATGGTGGGAAGTGAAGGACGCACGGACGTTACTGTAGCTGCTGTGTCGATGCGGGGAGTCCTGGTGTAATCCTCCGGCCCAAGCACGCTACTGCTGTTGTGTGCTTTCTACACCCCACCACGACTATGGTGCCGCACTACTGCAGGCACATCAGACATACACAGATGTGCGGGTGTATGTATGTGTTTTTTCGTCGAGAGGGACGCGCTACAGGTACCGTGTTCAGTCTCCGTACGCCCCTGGCCCATCTTCTTGGGGAGGGTGAAGATTTTCCGTGGCGGCCGCTGGGTAAAGCATGTGTGCAGCAGCATCTCCTTGGTAGATGAAACCACATCCAGCTTTCTGGTACATGTCGTCGCCATCAAGCGACCCCCCCCCCCCGTGCGCGCGCCACGGCAATGTAACCCCCGACCTACCGGGTGTTTCTATCCATGTCTTCTGCCGCAGGAGGAGGCCCAGGCTGCGGCGGCGGCGGCGGCGGCGGCGGCAGCAAAGGAGGGTCAAGAGGGTGCGGGAAAATCGGCGGTGTCGATTCGCGGCATGGTCGGCCCTCGACACGGCGGTCTCGAGGCGGAGACGGCGCCAGAGCTCTCCGAGGTGAGCGCTTGCGTCACTTCCTTGTGTCGGTGACTTTGCTCTGGTTGCACGTTCAGCGTATGTAACAGTTGCATCAGTTTAGAATTCCGTGAGAACGTTCCATTCATTTTCCGCGTGGACGGCTGAGTGTTCCGTTTTTTGTTTTTTCGGGCTCTCACAGAGCAGTATTTTCCGATTGTTCAGGTCCTCTCACAATCGTCGTTTGGACTCTTTTCTCACTTCGATTCAATTTCGTTCCACACACCTTCTCTCCCACACTCCTTCTTGGCTTTTGGTTGTTATCTCTCGCCCTGTCACTGTCTCCGTCTGTCTGTCTGTCTGCATCTCTCTCTCTCTCTCTCTCTCTCTCTCTCTCTCCCTCTCTTCTATCCATCTCTCATATCTCCCAGCTCACTTTTAATTTCATGCTCACAGGCTGGATTGATTGTAATTCCACACACCGGACTCTTTTCAGATAGACTGGATGCTTCCGCTTCTTTTCCGATCACACATGGATGGGCTGTCGTTCTGTCCGTCCGCTCGCTGTCTGTCTGGATCTCACGCACTCCTTTGCGATCACACGAGATCTCCGCTGTATGTCTGTACCTCATAACCGCGTACGGACGCGTCAGGGGTTTGTCCGCTTTTTCCGCCGGCGTTCTCCATTTCGCCGCTTTTCTGACATCTGCAAGAAGATTCTCCGCCTGCCTGCGTTCTCCGATTCTCCGCTTTTCCGACCTCGGCACCTTGCGCAGCTCTCTCGCTCTCTTCCTTGCACACGCGCTCGCGCCCCCTCCTCTCACCCCGCCGACAGCACCCTCCACTGCCTACTAGCACCCTCCGTCTAGTTATATGTAGAACATATACATTTTCTGTTTCGGCCAGGAGCTCTCCATTATTCAAGCGACACATTTCCAGCGGGCCGCCCTCCGGGTAGCATTCATTCCGGATTTTCGGCCGCTGACGGACGACCTTTTTTTTTCCGTTCCTGATTTCTTTATAATCATCACGCTCTCTCAGCTGAATAACACGCTGCGCTTTCTAGAGCAGTACACAGCAGTAGTAGTTCTCGTTTTGTCTCTCTCTGGGCTCGGTCTCTCTCGCTCTATATCTTTGTCTCTCTCTCTCTCTCTCTCTCTCTCTCTCTCTCTCTCCTCTCCTTCTCTCTCCCTTTCTCTCTCTGTCTATGGCTCTCTATCATCTCTCTGATTCTTTCCGGGGAATCTTTGCGATTCGTTCCTGTTGCCACACACAGCTTTTCGGTACTCCCCTCTCCTTTCGTGCCCCGCGCAGACAGCCGCCCTACGCTCACATGTAGCGTCTTCGTGTTCCGTTGGGGTGTATACACGACGACACGCTGTTCTTTCCAACAGAACAATACAGAGCAGCGTAGTGCGTTTTCAATACATGCGTGTTCCAATACATGCATGCGTGGCTGCCTGTAAACTCTGTTGTGTGCATTTTTTTTCAGTTTGGGTCCGTCCAATATCTCCAAGCAGAGGTTCTTCCGAGCAAACAGGGGCAATATGTTCCGATATTTTGACTGGATGGCCCGGTCGTTCTGGCTTTCCGATCACACGACGTCTGTCGCTCTGTCCTCTCCTGCACACATATGCGGCTCTCTGTCTGTCTGGATCTACGCTGAGAGGGATCCATTTCGGGTCTTCTCGGGCTCTCACAGGGCTCCATGTTCTCATTTCCATCTGTTCCAGATCTATCTATCTTTGGAGCTCGCTGTTGTTTTCCGTTCACCGTTTCTCTCTCATGCCTTCTCATTTTGGAATGGTCAACAAAGCGGAAACGAAAACGGCAATGAACAACATACTGCCGTGGGACATGTGAGAGGAAGAAACAGGCTGCTGTTGTTGTTGTTGTTGTTGTTGTAAGAGCCGACGACAGATTGGTATATGAGAGGGGAGAGAGAGACTGGCACGAAATAATGTGACGTGTGTGAAACGGATGTGATGAACGAGCCAGACGCCGTTTTCCCAGCCACGCTCTCTCTCGCTCGCTCGAGGAGCCTTTTGTCGCTTTCCTCCGCTCTCCATCCACCACACATACATACATACATACATACATACACACATACACACATACACACATACACACATACATACCTACATACATACATACATACATACATACATACATACATCATCACCAGTAGTTAGTCTGCACCCTGACACGTCGGACTTTCGCATGTATGTTCCAAAATGCGGTCCAGACGAGAGAGAAAGCGGTTGCTGCTTGCTGAGCACTCCAGGAGGGAGCGGATGCAAGTCGTTTCATGTAGGGCCCGGAGATAAGAAACGTCAAAATCGGGTCGAGCCTCAATTTCTTATTCTGGGCAGAATGACCAACCGAAGTCGGTCAATTTCTTAAAACGGATTTCTTAATTCCTCTGGACTGTCGCATCCTGCTGATTCTCGTATTCCTGCTGTATTTTCTTATTTCTGATGACGAAGAAAACAACACACCAAAAGCCTTCATGCAGCAATAAACCGACAGCTCGGCGTGGCGAACATTGGGGGTCGTGGCAGTACAGAAGTACAGCAGCAGTGGGTAGCGCAGCCCGCGGCGGCGCTGGGGCGCGGGGGGCGCCGCGAAAACACCCACTCTGCCCCTACCAAAACATGACATTGACATGCGCTAGGTAGGAGGTGGGAGCATGGCAACAGCATCAGCAGTGAGTGGGACGTTTCTTTGGACACGCTCCAACAGCTTCTACCCCTTTTCTTTTGCCTTGGGGGTATCGCACGATCATGTTTCTTTTTGGGAAGTTTCTCATGTTGTGCCCGAGATTGAGCTGTGTTTCTTATTTTCCGTAAAACTTTGAACCTTTCTTTCTTAACAGAATTTTCTTAACCGCGGGCCTCATCTGTAGTATATTGTACATGTACTCCGTGCGATGCAGTTCGAGCGTTTCCTTCTCGTTCAGTCTGTGAGCCCCTCATCTCCGAACCTACGGCCGTTCGTTTACATGGTTTCTTCGTGCTTTTTGCATCATTTACGCTCGCCGCCTGTGCGCTCGCCGCCAGTGCGCGTGTTTGGCGCTGGCGCGTGTCCATTTTATTAGCGGACCTCCCTTCGGTGTCGCAACAGACTACCGCGCACGTATAAGTAAGCGCAATGACAAGTACACCAACAAGAGACGGCCATCCAATAACAACAAACGCCGATAACCGGCATCTTGCGGAACGCTTCTCTCAGCGTGGCGGTGTCAGCCGCCGAACAGCCTTGTACAATGTATATGGGTTTCGCTTTTCTCGCATCATCGCCCACCCTCTCCCCACACTTTGAGCCCCCCGACACCCAACGCCGTTGTTGCGTGTGGCACCTGATAAGTTAGTAGAGCAACCGATAGCAGTGTGCCGTTGTTTCGTAATCGACGCCAGGAACAATGAATAGCGTTGTGGGGGCCCAACGCCTCACTCGTCCGCCGGGGGGGGGGGGGGGGGAAGGGG